CATCACCATGGAAGCCCTTTAATGTGTTTCTGCAAGTCATAACTTGTACTCTATGACAGCCTGGGATAAATATTACCCTGTATATAAGGAGGGCTTTTAGTATTCCTCTCATCAGTTTATAGTTTGGTTCATTTAAATATTTATAATGTTTATGGTTTTGAGTAATTATAACAGTGATGTTGCCTTAAAAGAAAAGGCACCTTATGCTATTTGATAGCTAGATCAAATGAAATCGGCCTGGACATTTATGAAAACATATATTAAAGCTAATTGATGGAAATTAATTTGGATTTTGTGTACAAAATATACCAAATAGTTGGGAGAGAACAGAGATTGAATTGGGCAGTTGCTATATTATTTTCAGCCTAGTTTATTGCAGACAAGAGAGTCACTTAACTCAATTTACTACATAATTCAAGTTGGCCCCCAAATCAAATATCTAGCTTGCACACTATGCCCTAAAATTTGTCTCATCTCCAGGTATATTTTTACACAGTGAAGCTCTAATCAAAGGCAAACCCCATCAAGATAAAAATGACAGTAGGAAAGGAACTCTTGTGTTTAAACTCTTTATTCTCTTATTCCGTAGGGGTTTGGCTATAACCCAGCTTGAATCAAGTCTTTATAAGTAGTTTTTTTTTTCAATTCAGTCTTCAAGGTCAAGAAATTTGTGATAAGAAATTAATAATTTTTGGTTTGATTTATAGGTGTGGGCTTTGCCACTAGGAAAATAGCTGGAGTGGCCAAGCCCAATGTAATTATCACCTGCAGTGGGGGTGTTATAACCATCAAGTCAGAAAGCAGTTTCAAAAACACTGAGATTTCCTTCAGACTAGAAGAAGAATTCGATGAGACCACAGCAGATGACAGAAAAGTAAAGGTGAGTGCTCTACTTTCCCTGAAATCATTTTGATTGAGTACATTTGGACTCCTGAAAATGTGTTGTGAACTGTCTTGGAAAATGGCTATTTGGGAACTTCCTCATTTATAAAATGATGGCTGTGTGGGACATGAATACCAACTTAATGAATTGGCTAAGAATTTCGAGAAGCTTTAAGTTGGGAAACAAGGCCTTTAAGCTCTTTTGTCCTACAAGATGTTCCTGTTTTGCTGTTTTCAGGGCAGGTGACATCCAAGTCAAATACTGGGCTGCAACCACATGTTCTTGTTAATTAAGAATATGCAGTCCGCTTGGAGATCTAAAGCACTGATGAAAGTAAACTATAAAGCAATGTTTCTCAACCTTGGCGAATTGAAGATGTGTGAAGCCAGCCATGTAACTTGCCAGTTTCCTGCAGATTAAATTAATGATTTTAGATGAAAAATTTGTACACTGCATGAAACATCTTCTTCTTCTTGTGCCATATCCGTTATCAGACATTGGCGATCATGTTGACGATCCTGTTTTTATCAGCAGCCGCACAAAAAAGTGCTGCTGAGTTTTGTCCAAACCAATCCCTTAGATTTTGAAGCCACGATGTTCTTCTTCTGCCTGGACCTCATTTGCCTTCAATGAAACATAGTGGATGCCAACAAATACGGTAGTCCTCGACTTACAACAGTTCATTCAGCAACTGTTCAAAGTTACAACAACACTTTAAAAAGTGACTTATGACCATTTTTAGACTATTGCAGCATCCCCATGATCACATGATCAAAATTCAGATGCTTGGCAACTGATTCATACTTGCAACAGTTATAATGTCTCTGTGCAATGTGATAATTTTTGTGACCTTCTAACAAACAAAATCAATGGGGAAGCCTGATTCACTTAACAACTGTAGCAAGAATGATCATAAAATGGGGAAAAACCCAATTAACAACTGTATTGCTTAGCAACAGAAATTTTGGGCTCAATTGTCCTAAGTTGAGGACTATCTATATCCATACATATATTGGGCCAATTTGGTCTTTTGATTAAGGCCCCAGGCTAGAAATCAGAAGTCTGAGGTCTAGTCCCCCCTTAGGCCTAAAAGCCAAAGGACAGTCTCTCTCAGCCCAACTCACCTCACAAGGTAGTTGTTTTTAGGGTAAATAAGAGAAAGGAATATTAAGTACAGGTACTTAACAGTTCATTTAATAACCATTTGAAGTTACAATGCCATTGAAGTAAGTGACTCATTACCATTTTTCACATTTACGGTCATTGCAGCATCCCCATAGTCATGGGATGAAAATTGGACACTTGGCAGCTAGCAGGTATTTATGACGGTTGCATGTCCCAAGGTCACGTGATCACCTTTTGCAACCTTCTGACAAGGAAAGTCAAGGGGAAGCCAGATTCACTTAACAACGTATTAACAACACTGTAGTTATTAACAACTACAGTGATTATTTAACAACTGTGGCAAGAAAGATCCTAAAATGGGGGAAAACTCACTTAACAAATTATTGCTCAGCAACAAAAATTTTGGACTCAATTGTGGCTGTACATTGAGGATTATACCTGTATGTTCGCCTCCTTGAGTTATTTATGGAAAAGGCAAAATAAAAATAACATCGATCCTGCAAGGCTGACCAGATTAGGAAACTAATTCCTAATAAGACTAGAATACGCTTTATTGAGATAGGTTATAGTAGCAAAATCTGCTTGTCTTTTACCTTGCTTCCCACTGATACCCCATTAAGATAAAGGAGCCAGCCAAAGTCTCTTCCTGATACTCCCCCCTTTCCTAGAGCAGAAGGAAACTTCTGTAGCAGCTTCTGAATCTTCTGTTCAAGCCATCTACATGGCTTCCTACTTATACGAATAGATATTAGGTGTTCCAGGCTATGTTTATGTTATTTCTGGCTGTGATTATTTTCTTGCAGGTAGCAAAACTTTCACCATGCTAGTGATTTCATTATTTTTAAAAAGCCCTGTTGAATACTGATTATTGCCTTACACATTGTGCATAGTTTGAGAATTGTGTTATTTTCCCTAAATTGATTATATGACTAGCACATATTTCAAACACAATTTTTGCTGGCTCTTCTTAGTAGGTTTTGAAACTGACCAGATAATTTTTCTTGGTAGAGTATTGTGACACTAGACAATGGCTCACTCAATCAGGTGCAGAAGTGGGATGGCAAAGAGACAATAATAAAAAGAAAAATAGTGGATGGAAAAATGGTTGTGGTAAGTTCATTTTTGGTTGTAAACCTTTGGGATGTTTTTCAGTAATAGAAATCACAAGTTTATGAGTAAATGTTTTTCAAAGGGGAAAGAGTAAAACAAGTAAAGATATTCTATTTTTCCTACTCTATAGAAGAAAGATGTGTCTTATTTTGGTTGGTGAGTCAGAATTCCTTTAAGTTAATAAGCAAGTTAATACAGAAGGACAATACTAAACTATTTTGAAAGCAGAACAGCATATCTTGTGCTATTTTTTAAAAGTCATTTAAAGCAAATTTCATTTTGAGAGTACTCTTACAGACTCTACAGATTCTCAGTCTAAGAGTGCAGTCAAACTGGCTCAAATTTAAATAAATTTACAACAAACATCCTTTTTGGTATAGGATGATTTCACAATGAAGCATGTTTTAAATATTATGACTCACTAGCAGCCCGTAGCAATGAGTTCATTGGAAATGAATGGCCCTAGCTGTGGCCAAATAGCGATTCTCATATTTAAGCTTTTATACACTTATAATCTATAATTTTTACAAGAACAGAGCAATAGATCAGATTGAAAAGTGATATTAAGGGGAGTTGAAAGTAATTGGAAATCATGCAGCCATGCTGTAATCTTTAGTGGAACATTCAGGGAAACTCCACACTTTTGATATTTAAAACCTTTTCCATAGGCACCACCTACATACTTCCAAAAAGACAAATGAAAAAAAAATCCTAGTAGCTTAAATGTTGTCCTGATTATAACAAAGAAAAGGCATTCTAGCAGACAGTTTCTCACTGAAAAGTAATTGGAAATACTCTTCTGACTGGAAAAGGTAATGCCAAACTGCCATGTATGAGCTGTGGCAAGAGCAGTTTCATGAAGATAAGAAGTCATTCAGATTTCAGGATGAAGTTGGCATGCAGGCATTTGTACAAACAAGAACAATTGGATTTTTTATGTGACAACACCATGGGAAGGGCCTTAAGCAAATGTGTTTTCAACAAAAATGTCTAAACACGCTGCCAGTAAGGTATTCTCTCGACTTGCATAATCTCTAAACTCTGGAAACTCAAAGGTATCTTAAAAACTATTGCTTAAATGTTCTGAATATTTCCCCGCTAACCTTTTCAGTCTTTTATACAAGCATAATTAAAACTATTTAAAAACACAACATCCAGCACATTGCTAAACAGAAAAGTAAGTCAAATTCTCTTCAAACAAGCCAAAAGAGCAATTTTCAAATATTGGAAATTGTTTTTCTGGTCTTGGAGAGAATTTGTCTAGTGCATATTTCAGTGGTCAAGGATATAAGCACATAAAAGCAGACTTAAGCAATCTGAGTCTTATTCTTTTGGATATGATTTTAAATAAAGCACCATTGCCTGGGGTCATGCAATACACTAAGCCAAAACGGGCTTAGCATGTTGCATCAATCCAGATCCTGTTGGTTTCCTTGATAGTCTTGTACTTCATTTGGATAAAGGGAACACTTGATCCACTTACTGAAAATAAGTATTGCTGATATAATAGTGATATTTTTGTACTTTTTTCTTTCTAGGAGTGTGTTATGAACAAAATTGTCTCCACTAGAGTGTATGAGAAAGCATGAAAAATCCATGTTGTACAAATTAGAAGTATCTCAAAACAAAATATGAAGTTTGATTCAGGGAGCAGAGCCTGTTCTTCAGAAGCTGAATTTGACAGGCCAACTCCCAACTACTTTTGTACCTAATTCAAAATATTTTAGTTATTCAATAAAGTGTTTACCTTGAAATGAAAAAGTTTCTGACTCAGTTGTGGAAACTGAATAAGGATCATTCCAAACTAGATTTTCAGGTTCTGTTTGTGGGATCAACTAATCCTCATTACTCCTCACTTATTGAAATATTAAAAAACCTGACTGTAGTAGATAATGAAATAGGCTAAAGTGTAATTTTCCTGCCCCACCTTTTATAGTGCGTACATTGAAAATTTCATTGTTTCTCTACTGCTGTGTTTGCTATTTTACTTCCTATAGAAAAATCATTTTTTTAAAAAAATGCTGGAATAACTATACAGTCCAGGGCTTCCAGTGGGTGGTTTCAGGAACCATCATTTTAGAAACATAATTTGTTAGAACAGACTTCTAGGATTCTTCCTGAGAATAAATTAATGTCTTTTGAGAAAATAGGAAGGCCAGAAGTTGCTTGTTATGCTATTTGGAGACAGTCCCAAGAATTACCCATATTTATTATCTTAAAAAATGTTTAAAGCAGGACTTCTAAAATCTCCAAATTACCTTTGAAAGTTATGCTGTGGACTTAGCATAAAGTGATTGCCATAATAGATATGGCCACCATGACTAAATTCATTTACCAGGACATTAGATTGATTCCTAAATTCCACAGTTCTCCACCATCCTGGTTTATCTTTCTCTGAATTGGTATGCTCACTTCCTAAGAAAGCATTGGCTGGTGTAGCTTCTCTTCTCTCCCTGATCTAAGAATGCTTAGGGATTCCAGAAACAGTCAAAAATAAAAGATGAAGTTGGTGTTTAACTTACAAGAATCAGCTTTCTATTCAAGTATTTTAAATATATCATAGAAAGGGAGGTAGGAAAGGGAACACACCAGGCCCCAAGACAAATGCAAGAAAGCTCCTTAATGGAGGTCCAAGTGGGGATAGCATTCCATTTTAATATATAAAAAAACTTAAATCATTTTCAAATTATTAGGAAATACACTTTGTAAAGCAACCTATGAACTTGGGACAGAAGCCATGCTTCAAATCAACACATATTTATAGTATTACAACAAAATGAGTCGACTTCTCCAGACAACATTATCCATATCAAGCAAGTGTAAATACTAGGAGTTACCCAACAGAAGAATCAATTAATACTTTTAAATATATATATATAAATATATTCATCTTTTAGATGCTTTTTAAGATTTATTAACTCTGAAAAACAGTTGTAAACATTTCTGTAGAAGAAGAGGTAGATTTTTAGGCAGTTACAGCATTTATTAATCAAAGAATTTATCTTTTTCTTTTTGGGGGCACCCTCCTGGCTTCCCTTCCAACTACCAGCCCTTATTTTTTGTTCTTTGTACTGTATCAGCATCGGTATGTGAAGATTATCTTTTAGAACATCATATAAACACAAAAAAACAGATGACCTTGACTTAGAATTTAATTATTTTGCTCAAAGTTTGTTCCATTTAAACATCTGTGTAATCAAGTACTTCTTGACACAGATTGTTGTGAATATGTTGGTTTAGATGTGGGGAAAGACTAGATATCTGGGTTTGTTGCAAAATCTGGTTCCCACATTGGCATCATTGTCAATACTATACTTTCTCAGCTGATAGGTCCACACTTGCATATTGACAATACTTAATCGAAGCAGATTCTCATAAGCACCAAGAAACAAGAGAACAATGATGCCATCACAAAAAAATTAATGGACACTAGTTTAACATCATGGAGGAATGAGTTGAAATTTGGAAAGAGATTTCTTAAACTAGCTTCATTTCCAACTACTTTATGCACAAGTTTGGTCTACTGATTAAGGCATAGGCTAGAAAGCAATAGATTCTGAGTTCAAGCCCTGTCTTAACCCATGAAAGCCATTTAGCTGACTTTGGGCCAGTCAGTCAGCCCTATTCACCTCACAGGATTGTTGTTGGGAAAATAGGAGGAGGAAGGTGTATTGAATATGTTTGCTGCCTTGAGTTATATATATAAAACAATACAATTATAATAATTTCTATAAATAATAAAAATGAGATATAAATAAATAATAAAAAACATCTGAAGGCCACCATGGAGAAGAAGCAATAGCAGAGTTTCTCACTCTTGACAATTTGAAGAAGTATACATTTCAACTTCCAGAACTTCCAAGCCAGCTTGCTAAGGGTGAGAAACATTGGTACATAGTGTATAGAAAAATCAGTGGAAGAAATCAGATGCATATTTCTTGGTTATATCGTAATTTGATATGGCACATATTTGGATGCAAAACAGGAAAAATGAATGTCATATCTTGTTCTTTAGCAGATAAAGCCTTCATACTTAATATTAAGTAAATTCTGGACCTTACTTCTGAAACATGAATTTCACATTTTTTGGTCATTTTAAAAGATAAAACACTTGGGAGCAGTACATAGAGAAGGAGTTTAGTATCTTAGTAGATCATAAACTGAATGCAAGCCAAAACTATGGCATCACTATTACAAACATACACATACATACTTAATGTGCAATCTTAAGCTATGCTAATAAAAGCAAAGTCCAGATCACTGGAAAAGGCAGTTATTATTCTACATTAGTCAGGCTGCTTTTGGGGTCCTGTCATGTGTTAGACATTATATCTTATGAATAATGTTGAAAAAAGAGAATATATGCAGAGATAGGTGATTGGGATGATCAGGAGAAGAAATCCACTAAAGAACTTCTAACTCTAACTTACTTAGCAATGCTTGTCACAGTCTTCAAATAATTGAAAAGGTACCATGAAGAAGCTGTTCCCCGATGCTTCCCATAACAAGACTGCAACCAACTTCCTCCCTAAGATGAAGTCAAGAGACTGACCAAGGAGCTTTTGTGGAGAATCCTCCTCCATCTCTTAGAACCATAGAAGGAAACCTCAGAAGTGATCTAAAGCAAAATAACATAACTGCTTCATTTTGCTTTTAGAAAGGAAGGGGACATCTTACTTCAGAAAGCATAAAGCTTATATTCTTTCAGTGAAGCAAGACATTGTGCCTTCAAAGTTTTGCACATTGAGATAAACTACTTAGCAGCAAAGAAGATGGTCATGAATGTGATGGAATTTCCCTTGGTTGAAATACAGAAGTTAGAAAAGCATTTCTTGTAGTTCCTACATTCCCAGTTGTACAAAGGGCTTGGCTGAATTCCCTCTAAGGCCATTCTGCGTTATCAGTCTCTTAGATTAATGTGCTCCCAGGAGAATGTGTCAATATTATATACAATATAGCACTATACTTTCAACATTCTGAAATATCTTAAGACCTCCTAGTAGTTGACATTCTGATGATGAACATAGTGCGAGGAATTTTGGAATCAGTTTTTAGTACACAAGTTTTTTCTATCATAAGCACGACTTCATCTATATTTAGTTCCTTAATGGCTACATTAAATTTATTCCTCATCCTCATAAGACATTGTCATAAGACTTTCCTGAAAATCAAAAGCTGTCCTTCCCAAGAGCATCTCTGCTCCAGCACAATAGTAGCAAGCTCACACCCATCACCCCTTCCTTTTTGTATTACTGCGGAGGAGTTGGTGGCAGGCAAATGCTGCTGGTCTTGGTACTAGCATGAATGGTATGGCACAAGGGCCCATTGTTTGGCCTCTGACATTGCCCTTCAGCATTGGGAGGTACTGAGCACTGCATGTCCTAGGTCTCTCTTTAAAAGATGTAGCTGGGCTATTACCATTCATATAATCCATCTGGCTCTTGCTAAGAATCGCTCCTGTCATTGTCCTTGCTCCCAACCAGAAAAACTATGTGCAACAAATTTGTGGGAAGCTGGAAACTCATCTCTAGTGAAAATTTTGATGATTACATGAAAGAATTGGGTGAGATTTATCTTGTTGATTTAAAAAATGTTGCAGATTATCTATTGTTGATTTCTTATCAGAGTTTTGCAATTAGATCATAAACGTTTCACTTAATTCTCTTCAAAATAAATGTTAGAAAATGTTAGGATTTTTAAATTTCTTCTTTGGAATCTTTTACTTAGCTTTTATTATATTAGATGAATATGCTATTTGTTGTTACTTTCAAATCATTATTCATTATTCACGGTGGAATAATGAAAAATTCATCTGAGTCCATTAGAGCTGGGTAACTAATCAATTTAAATAAATAATCCAAAATTTCCTGATAACCAGTTTTTACTGTAAATGAAATTATTTTTGCACAGAAACTGTAGGCATAACTCTTTCTATTCGTTTGCAGAATTAGTCCATCAGTGAAGACTTTTAACTGATGAAGTCAGATATCTCTGGAAAATAAATCTGGTTGTTTATTTTGTCCAAAGAACTATGTTTTGAGGAAGCTTAGTTGCATCAAATATGAAAGTTTGCTGTTTATGTGTTAATATATATATTCAAAATTTTGTGGCTGACAAAAAGATGCTCCTAGACTGGAGTGAAATGCAGAACAGATTGCTTTATATTTGGTAGACCGGGTGTTCCACCTAACACACACACAAACACACACACACACACACACACTTATTAACTAAAACTTTATTGTATTGTATTGTATTGTTTCTGAGCATGAAATAAAATAGGAAAGAAGAGAGAACTATGTACATTACCATTTGTTTTTCAACAGAATGCTAATTTGGTTTGTTATAAGATATACTTAAGAAGATGTGCTTCCAGACTATTTTTAACTCAATGAAAATACATTTTTTTTAAAAAAATGGAAATTATGTGTGGTGAGGTTAACAGATCTGGGCTGCAAATATCCACATGGCTAATAAATGGCAGCTGAACGTTAGAGTTTCCTATATCTCTTTGCTGCCATCATATAGTCCTCTGGATTTGTATAGCCACCATGTGTTTTATTTCTACATCATCAAGAAGTACCTGTCATACTAAGCAATCATTCACCTTGTAAATGATCATCAGACATCAAACATCAAAGAATGTGGATATCATACTTGGAGGTAAAATGTAAAATGCAATAAGTTTCAGCCAGGTACACACACATTGTACGCATACAGATGCACACATCTGGTGCAGAAGATTCAATAACTAAAATCAGATCTTGCATGTTGATGTAATGGTAGGTGAAAGTGACCTTATAAGATAGGGATAGCTGCAGACTGCACAAACAGCATATGGAAGATGTCTCAGCCCACAAAAGGAGGGAGAGTGTGGGAAATGTTTCAAAAGGGACCCTCCTAGTTTTCCGGAGAGTAAAAGTAGAGGAGAAGAGAAATACTTTCAGTATTGGAAGACTCTGTTAATGTGAATAAAGCTACAGTTAGTACTCCTGGTTGTGCTTCCTCACAGAACTAAAATTTCACCTGGAAACTGACTATTCATATAGAGAAGATATCACAGAAAAGCAGTTCATCCTGCTTTGGCTTCCATTTTTTATTTATTTAGTTTTATTATTCATATGATGTTACTGTTTTAGCTTTTCTCAACCAGGCACTCTATAGACTTATTAGAGCACAATTCCCATTGTCCCCTGCCAGTTGTTCCTTACCATCACTGTGGAATATGGAAATTCTATCCATAGGGAGGGTATTGGGCTATGACTATGTGATTCACAGAAATGCATATTTGTCGTACTAGGAACACAAATAAATGCTGTCATTTAAATATGAACCTGTGATGAGTGCAGGTACGTAATAATACTATGGTAACCTACATCAACTATATTATTTCTTTTATTTCTGCTTTTCAGAGATAATTGATGTAGATAGTTGCATAATATACCCCCCCCCACACACACACACACACATACTCTTTTTGTCAAATGAGTAACGAAGACTGTTTTCTTGCTGTTCCATAGGAGTGGGATTGGCGACTAGGAAACTTGGTAACTTGGCAAAACCTAAAACCATCATCAGCATGAAGGGTGATGAGGTCACAATCAGAACAGAAAGTGCCTTTAAAAATACACAGATCACATTTAAGTTGGGTCAAGAATTTCAAGAAACCACAGCTGATGGCAGGAAAACCAAGGTGAATAAGGTGTTTGGGGTTGTTTTTTTTACATTTTATATGAGGTATTTTGACGCTCTTAGAAATAGTGTAAGAGTTTCAGATCACAGAGGAAATTAATAATGGGTCATTCAGATAACAGTTGATTACTGTCTACCATATTTCCTTAGAGTTAAGTCCTTATGAGGGAAATTCTCATAAAAGTGGATATATTTAAAATATATTTCAAAAGAAAAGGAAGAAAAAAATCTTGTAATTGAAAGGTTTGTAACTTCCTTTTTACTACAATAGAGCTACTATACGTTGGCTGCAAAAATTCAGATGTCTATAGGAGGGTTGTAAAGAGGTGGAGAAAACTGACTTTGCTGCCAACTAGTGGATCCCTGGATTTTCCACCTTAAGCAGACTTACATAAAACTATGGCTTCTACAAATAGGACAGAATCAAGAAGGGCTCCAAGGATTATACAAACACAAATAATAATTCAAAGGAGACAAAACAAACAAGGCCCAAACCATGTAAGAACTGAGCATAAATCATGTGGAAGAAAAAGCAGAAAAATAGGAAGAGGACCCATCAAGAGGAAAATATACTGGAATATATATTGAGGGTCATTTGTTTGTGATTCAATAGCAGAAAAATAATCGACATCTTATTTCTAATAAAACTGTAGCCATTTAATATACACTAGCAAAGCTCAGGATTGCAAGTGACTGCTTATGATGGAACAACACACGCATATGATTCAGAAATAGCAAAATGGATATAGGGAACAGCTTGACTGGTGACTTCATGGACTCATCTATATTGTACAAAAGTAGTTTGTCCTGGTTTTTTTCCAGGGTGCATTTTGACTTCTTGGCTGAGTTTCTTGCCCTGCTGTCTCTTGGTAGCCCATCACTCAAGTTCTATTTAGCTTTTTCAAGATCAGCCACCATTGTCAGCTAAGTACTGCTATCCATTGTGACAAGCAGGATATATGTGTCTCTTTTTTTCTCTCTCAGCTGATTATTCCTAAGTGTTTGATGATGAAGAAGATAGATAGATAGATAGATAGATAGATAGATAGATAGATAGATAGATAGATAGATAGATAGATAGATAGTCTTTACACATGGGAATGGTTTAATAGTACTTCACATTTTTGTTGTACCCAATCTGTATAAAAATGATAATTTTTAGAATTAATATTTGGATCTACAGACTGTTGTAACCTTAGAAAAAGGAGCACTGGTTCAAGTGCAGAAATGGAATGGCAAGGAATCGACAATAAGGAGGAAACTAATTGATGGGAGAATGGTGGTGGTAAGTAGCTCTTCTTAATCAAGAAAACTACAGGATGTTCACATGTTTAATTTATTTATGGCAATTTTAGGAACTTTTGAATGGCAAGGGATATATTTTGATCACAACTGTATACATGAAAATCATACACATCAAAAATCTGTTGAAAACATATGTTTAAAATTAAGGAATAAAAATGTGTGGCTTAACAGGAAATGCATTTTTATTTGCTCAGAAAATAATCTATGAATGGATGGATTTGAATATATTTTTCCATAGTTGTCCAATTTAAGGCAGATTTTAACTTTGAGTTGATATTCATCAGTTAAAACATATGTATGAGCTAATTTGATTAAAATCAAGACTAGTTTCAAAGGACCCAAATGAGTAAGGATATTTTCAGCTTTTTACATTAGATAGACATAGCAAAAGAAGAAGAAAATTATATAATAAAATTGTGCATGTGGAGTGGTTAGGAAGATATTTTTCTCAAAGTGTCAGATATAAATACAGTGAAGCTGAATAATAAGAAGGTTAAATCAAATTAAAGGAAGCTAACAGAATTTGGTACACCATGATTTAGCAATGGTCAATAACTGGAATGGTTGTAAAAGCGGAATAAGCAAATGAAAGAAAGATTGTTTGTAGTTATTACTCTTGATAGTTATATAATACTTACAAAAACAGTACATTCCTTTGCCTTTTCTCCTAATAAATGTAGTTCAGGAGAACATTGTGTTCTTATCCTGCTTTTTGGCTTTCCTGCTGTAGACAGGATTGGTTCATTAGGCTCTTTTTACGTTATTACTGTAAATTTTTACAGCCATCCTTCAGAAATTGTGTTCCACCCTCTCCTAAAGCTAAATTTAAGACTGCTTCACTTATTATAGATTAAAATTATAGATACATGTGCAAATTGTAGGGAAAATCAGTTTCACATCTTGATCATTAGCATTCAGAGAAAGTTCCAGGCATAGGTTGACTTATTTGTTCTTTATTAAATCTTGTGTTCCTTAGAATTAAACAGAAGCATCTTGGATTTTGGTCATTGATTTTTTATAGGCAGCAGTACCATAAGAGATACTGTACAAGAAGGCTGGAAAAGAAACCAAAATCAAAACCAATATAAACTTACAATATTTAAGATAAGCTTTTATTATTCATTTTTAATAAAATATGAATTCCCATCTTACATTTGTATAAATATATTGTATAATAGTGTTGAGGCTAATCATGTGATTGTAACTTGTTTTATATCTCAAATTATGTTCCTCTTTTTAGGAATGCATCATGAAAGGAGCCCTGTGTACAAGAGTTTATGAAAAAATGTGACAAAACTCGAAGTTTATACCAGATGAGACTAGTTCTTCAATCCACATCATTTCCTTGAGTGGCTGAGGAATTGACATTTCTGTTCACCTTTTCCCTTTTTGCCTTTTACAGGAGAGCAACTAAGCTATAAGTATTCATTTTAAAAAATTAAGAAAGTAGATCACATTTGAGACTAAACACATACTTAGCATTGTATAAATGTGTAATTTTGGTGAGATTAAATGGTTGCATTCAGCCTTTCTAAACATCTCGTTAATGAGTTCTTATTCCGTAGTGATGCACTGTTGCACTAGTGAATCTATAGACATTTTACATAGAAAGAGGCATATTTATATTTTCTTTAAATGGCACGTTATATAGTCCAGGTGTGCTAACCTGGGGTCCTTGACAATATAAAATAAAATATTCACTATCTCTTAATGAAAGAGTTTGTTTATTTTCCCCTAAAGCTGTCCTGTGAACCTGAGGTTTCACATTAGACTAAAGTAGTTCTCAGCTTACTTCAAAATCATTTGAAAGTGTCATCCTTACAATGTATAGCAGATAGGAAACACAGCCAGATAACCTAATTCTGCTTTATTATAAAGCTACATTAATAGGAGCTTGCAAGTCTCTTCCCTCCCCCTCCCCTTTACAGCCCAATAATATTGGGACGATCCCTTCTGAGCTTCTTGTTTCACCCACTATGCAGCTGTGGGCTATGCTCCCCTTATCTGGCAGCATCTCTTCACCAGGTCTCCCAAGGTCATTCCCACATACCTATTACAAAAAGCAGATCACACTTTTGGGGTTACTTCAGCTTCACAGCAGAAAGGGAAGTGAATGTCAGCATGAAAAAAAGTGAAAGGCTTCACACTTTTTGGTCTCTGGTCCTACCTATCAATTCTTTCAACTTCATTCAACATTGGCAGGTAGATTTGGGTGGGGTAGGTGGGTTGGGTAGATGTGTTAAAAAAATCATGGCAGCTGTGATCATGGACAATATTTTTGATCCCTGAATTCAGATTCCTCTGTCTCAAATCAATTTATTCTTCTTTAGCTTGGTACCTTCTCGGTGTGTTGGAATAAAGTTCACAGATTTCAACTTGTGATACCTCTAATGCATCTGGAAGTGAGCAGATTAAGTAAGGTTTTAAGGAATATAACATTCAATGATAAAAAGTTTTCGTACACCTAATCAGAAGCAATGTTTTTCCTATCATTTATACTATACATGAGGAGATGTTTAGTTCTGCTGCTCATAGCCTTAAAAAGTTTTACTTCATTTTGTTTGTTCATACCTAAATTACTGGCCTAGTATGCTTTATTAAGAGAGCGAGATAAAAAAAACTCAACTGCTCAACTCTGCAACAGATCTGCCTGGCACTTTCTCTATAGAAAAATAACCATTAGCAGCTGTGTCATGGGAATTAAGAGTTTTTCCAGAACAGGAAAAGTGCAACTGTGCTGATAGCACAGAAAATAAATAAATAAATAGATGAGGTAGATGGTACATCCTATTGATGAATAGGCAGCATGCAATCAAATTCTATGCCTTTGTCTTAGCAGGGACTCAGATGGGTGGAGAGGCTCTGAAACTGCTCCAATCTTTCTAAAAATGATCAGACCGCACCCTGTGCTTCAATTTAATATAATTTATTTAGGCACTGATACAATTCCAGTCACTTGTCCTTTCACCATTTCTTTTCTCCATCCAATTCAGCTAATAACCTGAATGGATCAAATTTTGTTTATGATTATCTCATAAAACTGTCCCTTTTCACAGATAAGTGTCAGAGTATTATAATAAAACCCAGGCAATGTTCTCATACTCTGCTAAGTAGGAATTACGCACCCTTATAGTGCTATTAAAAATAAGATAAGAATACTGTGATGATTAATAATTAGAAGTGAGTATTACAATCAGATTATATTGAAGGCAGCAATATAAGGAAAACAAGTATAGAAATGTTTCTTCAAGTTAGTTAGTTTGTCTAGCCAATATTACTTATTTTAACTGTTAACAGATTACTAAGATCAAAACTGGAAATATTTTACAGTACTTGCTATTTGGTTACTTATACTAAAGAAGTTACAGTTCCAGATCTCATACCATGTTTGGACATCAGATTTACTTAGAAACTGCAGTTAGCTACGTTTATACATTATGCTAAACCATAGTATAAAAACCTTGGTGCACATATAATACTAAGCCAAAATCATGGCTTAATAAGGCTTAGCATGATCATTCTGAACCCTGATGCCCTCCAAATGTGTTCACAAGATTTCCTGGAAATCTGCTTATCTAGAAGATGCTAGGATGGAGAATGCTGGCTTAGCACAGTATGAAAACCAGGCCTGGGCTTTATTATAATATTTTGAAAGTTGTCTGTGAAAAGGGACAATGTTATAAGACCTTCATAAGCAGAAGTTGATTCATTCAGAATCTCATTAAAGACTAAATATCTACTGTGGTCTTGTAGTCACAGTTGTTGATGTTTTTGTTCTGATTCTCAGTCCCATAGGAACAGTATGTAGGATATTTTTTTTAATTGATTGTATGATTGTAATCATGATTAATTTAGACTTAGTGGATTTGAATGCACTATAAATATAGTGCCCTGTAAATATTGAAATAATATCAAACAACTGCAGTGAGGGACACCATTTTGCTGATGTGCTGCTTGCAATCCTCCTGGGTGTGTCTGGCTAGACATGCTGAAATACAAAACTCAAAACAGATAGCCCTTAGCCTAATAGATTGGTTTGTTCACATGGTTTTGTTCTCTTGGGTGGCACACTACAATTGCAACTTTAACATTGGTGAAATTCTTCATGAATTTATTTGACATAAATTTAACAGTAAAGTTGATTGGCTATTACAACTAAACTTATATATTCTATTACCCCATAAGTGATCTGTTGGCATTTTGATAGTTTAATATATTCTGCACGCCTAGACACTGTTATGTCATGATGCATGTAAGACAAACAGTGACTTCGCACAAAAAAATAAGCCTGACCAGTCGGAGATATGAATAAAAGTGTGTAGACTGTACAATGAGTTATGTCTACTTTCACAATGACACTCAGATCCACAATTGATACCTTCTAATTGGGTTTTCATTTGACAAAGTGGTTAAAATTACAGCATTTAGATATCCTTGACAACTTATGGTATTAATCCCCATGATTATCAAGAAGGAAATGGCGTGTCTTGCTACTTTAGAAGCCCTGCACTGGGCAATAGGCCATTGTAGTTCAGATGGAAAATTAATTTCCTGAAAATAATAGTAACAAAATTTAGATTAAAGTTCAAAACATCATTAGAAAATAAGGCAGCACTAAAAAGTTTGCACAATGTAGTTTGTATCACTAAATTGCACTAGGCTTTGGATTATATCAACCTTTCAACATACTTTCCCATATGTTTTTTTTCTCGTAACAATATAAAATATTTATTTAAGGAAATGAAAAACTCAGGGGACTTTGAGCAGAATAGCCAAGCTGCATTTGTTAGATGAAGAATCTGATTCAGAGCCAAGCAATTTGACCCTAAAAGTTGTTTCCATATGTGGACAAATATCATGCAGACTACTTTGAGTTAGTTTTTATTTTCTTTAAAAGGGAAAAAGAGAAATACAGATTCATTTGTCAGCAGCTGACAATATGTGGATGCTCTCTTTTAGTTTTCATTTTAAAAAATATGTCAGAATTAAGGAAAAATCACAAAGTGATCAAAACTTAAGTAATCATTTTCAATGTAAACAATATTTTCATGGTTTAAATATTTTAAGAAAAATGTTGGTTTATCTTGAGAATAGTCATGATGCAAATCACCATTTTAATTCAAATAATCATGACTAAAATCACTATATGAGTTTGAATAATCATGATTTAAATCACTAATTCAGTCCAAAATGATTCTTGCTATATTTTATATAAAGCAAATACAACATTACAAAGCTAAAAACGTTAATGACCTTGCCAATGGAGATGGGAGCTCTGTGATCCTCAAACTGTTGTTGAACCACAGCTATCAAGAGCCAGTAAAATATTATCTTTAAAGGAGGATTCTGGGAAATGTAGTTCACCAACATCTGAAAGGTCACAGGACTCCCTATACTTATTTCTAGCATCTGGTTTTGTTCCACACTAGAATATTATACCTTTCCCCAGCATCTCCATCATTTAAAAGTAACTGAATGAAAGGAAATGTAACAACTGGTCCTCTTCAAATCTGCTATTGAGTGTGACAATGTGATCTTCTACTATCGCCTTATTATTATTACTATTATTATTATTATTATTATCATTATTATTATTATATTAATCTGGGAATCTTCCAGATGCATGAACTTCGTCTTCCTGAATACTTGAAGACGGCCAATACAGAGATTTCTAGGCACTGAAACCTACACATCTGAATATTATCCAGGCTGCATTGAATTGGAAAGTGTAATACACTTGTGCTTTTTGGGTTCTTTTATTATAGGCAAGCTACCCTTGCTTGGAGGAATATGGCCAGCTTCTGGTTTTTAAGGTGAAAGTTGAATTTGCTATGCAGGAAATTAGAGTCAAAGCTCTATATTTTTCACATTTTTGTTAAGCATCTGGGGAAAGGGTCACGCATAAACAAAAGTTAAGATTGAGAAATAACGTGGTCTGAGAATGCCTACTGAGATCCAGAGTCTGGTAACAACTGAAGAACTGAATAGCTTGTATGGCTTACAACAGATAATTAAAGCTAGGAATTAAATTACAAATTGTATAAAACTCTTATTGAATAAGCAGTGCAGTAAACATGGTTTTAAAAAAATGAAGATCCCAGAAAGGATTAGTTTGTCAGATTTCTACCTTGTACAAATTTTCTTGTGGCAACATCTCTTTTCTGTCATGTCCACATGCAGGAAAGTGTCATTTTTTGTTAAGCAACTAATACAAACCTAAATCTTCTTTAGTTTTATAGCATTTAAAGCAGTGTTTTTCCCCATGAGTCAAAAACATTCAATACAGCCCTGACTTACAACCACAAAATTGAGCCCAAAATTTCTGTTGCTAAGTGAGATAAGTGAATTTTGCCCCATTTTACAACCTTTCTTGCCACTGATGGTAAGTGAATCACTGCAGTTGTTAAATTAGTAACATGGTTATTAAGTGAATCTAGCTTCCTCACTGACTTGTCAGAAGGCCCCAAAAGGTGATCACATGATCTCGAGGCACTGTAACCGTCATAAATATGAGTCAGTTGCCAAGCATCTGAATTTTGATCACATGACTACGGGGATATTGCAATGGTTGTAAGTGTGAAAAGTGGTCATAAGTCACTTTTTTCAGTGCAGTTGTAACTTTAAATGGTCACTAAATGAGCTATTGTAAGTTGAGGACTACCTGCAGTAGCCACAAGCCACAAAATCAGAGGCAAAATCAGATGATTAAGAATGAGCTGGAACAGAGAAGGGCTTATTGACTATTTGAAATGATAAGAACATGTTCCCTTCCTTTCTTGTTCAGCTTCACCTGCTGTTGCTTACCAGATATCTGAATAGTACACACTTTGCCAGTGGTCTAATAGACCTGCACAGAGGACTACCTGTATCCAAAGAGTTTGTTTGTTTATATATCATATTTAGAGATTACCCTTCCTCCTAACAGATTTGTTATTGCCAATATTATTTTCATTGCTATTCATAGCACTGTTAAAGTAGTATTTATTACATCATTTTTGTATAATAAATGTTTGAGGGTTGATGAACAATCTGAAACTTCATGAAGGGGTAGATAAGTGGAAGAATTTGGAAACCTCTGCCACTGAGGCACCATTAACTCTTTTGAAAAAGAAAACTGGTAGGAAGACTTGAACTATGGTTGTCAAAATGATAATAAACTCCATATAATAGCACAAAGGCATCCCACCTCATTGTACAAAAATAAAGTTCTGCTAATAATACTTGGTTTATCTTCAGCCATACAAAGCCCTTACACAGCTTTTTAGACCTCCTTCAGATCTCATTAATCATGATCTCACATGACCAAAGAGACTCGGGGCTGCTCATTGACATGACTGACTTGGAGTATAAAGACAAGAGAGAGTTTTCAGAGGGTTGAGATAATAATTGAATGTTTGAATTCCTAACATATCTGAAAGTCAGCATGATTTCTCTCAACTCCCTCTTCAGAGATATTCTAGGGCATTATCAACCATGACTCCCCCACAAACCACAGGAAGAAGAAGAAGAAAAGGAAGCCGCTGAGATGATCTTTTGTAAGCAACACGAGTTTACATTTTCTGGTGGATGCAAGATCAGTGGTGTGAATAACTGTAAGACTCAGTGAACCAATGCTTTCGTTTTCCGTTTTTTTGCTATTATCAATCAGCTTTACTTTAATCTTAAGAAGTTATTCCTAGTGTAAAAGAATACCCCTTTAAAATGAAGATCATATAAATTGGAATGGATATTATTAAATATTATTAGTGCAGCCAAAGAAATATAGGAGTTTGGGGACACAACCCGCCTGAATTTCAGTTATAAATAGTTTCAGATAAAATAGCCCCCATTAAAGGAATGGGTGCATTATGCTCTAAAAATATCAAGGTACCAAGTTGTCTAGCTCTGCAGTACTATGTAAAATATTTGTAATATCAATTTGGAGGATAATGACTAGAGCAAAACATTGTTAAAAATAGCTTTTCAAAGGAAAACTCAGCAATTATCATGCAGGAAAGGAACCAACATGCAGAAAAACTTTCAAGGTTCGACTTGAAAGTGGCCCACTAAGCATTAAGGAGATCTAAAGACATATGATTTAACAGGAATTGTTGTAAGCATCCTGAATGATATTTAAAGGACATAACAATACATAACAACAACAACACAGCAACAATACAACCATACAAATTAATGTATCTAAGTAATAATAAAGACGTACATACACATAAATAACTGAAATGATAAAATACATCTTATCAAGTTTGGGCAAGAAAAAGAAGTTTGGAAAGATGAAAAGCATGGAAGATACAGTGCAAAAGACACGACAAAACTCTTGGTGTTACTAGAGGTTTATTCATGGTAGGTCATCCATAAGGAAGGGTGAAATGTGGGGTCCTTGGTGCTTTTGGAATTTGGTTGTTTTTTCACATCATCAGTGCTGGAATAGCCCAATCAAGGAACTACAAACTCAGGCAAACAATAAAACAAACAATAAACAATAGCTTAATCAAGGATCCACCAAGAATACTCCCACCAACACTGCCAGGGCAAGTAACTTGAATAAAAACAATACCTAACAGGGTTACCATGTGATAAGATGGGTGGCCAATAAATTTAATAAATAAAATTCAGACCATAAATATTTTGGTAGGATTTATGGATGGAATTATAATGGAAAAATCACATGGTGCTTTATTGTTATGTATGATAACAGCAGCATGACTTCCATATGTTCAGCATTTGGAAAGATCTTACAATACCCACAATAGATGTATGGTTAATAAAAGTGACAGAACTGACAATGAGGGCTGAGGTAAGAGTCCTTATGAGAGAAAATTCATCTGTAGTTGGAAGCCTTTTGTGGACTTTTTGCAGAAGATGGAAAAAAATTGAATTTCGACATATGGATTTGTCAAAATTTTTAAAGTAATATTTTTTCTTTTCTTCTTTTCTGGGAAAAATGGACATTTTATTATAGTCTTAAACCAAGAGTTAAATGTAAGTGTGCTTTATAACATTGGAAGAAGAAGTTAAAAAACATTCTTTGTATATATTTTTGTTTTCCTTTCTTTTTCTTTAAAGGCTAGTTTGTGTTCATTTAAAAAAAAGGAAGAAAAAGAGCTTCATATGACAAAATACATTAAAGTTTGGAAGAAGGTTCTTATGTTGGAGTAATTATCCAAGCAAATGACTTCCTGAATTTGAAGATCTATTTCACATTATTTAAAAGCTGACAGACTCCTTCACTGAAAACTGTTAAGCAGAATCCGCACAATCACTTATAGGCAGTCTTTAAACAGGATCTACTACTTTCTCCCTAAGAATCCTAAGATCCCCAGTAGGAGCT